GAAGGTGTTTCAGTTGGTGCCTTTGACTTTGGTGTTAACCTTGGTTACAAATTTAAAAAGTTGAGTGAGGGATCGGGATTTTGTTTTGCTGGCGCTCCACATACAAAATGTTCTCTGTAAACTCGGGATAATTTCTTAGGCAGTCAAAGGTTTCCTTTTTGGTCCTTCCCATGGATCAATCCTGCCCATCACCTTCACCTTTCACTATTTTATTATTTTTGGGAAGAGAAACAGTTTGAACAGTGGTTTGCAGTCACACACATCTGATTCACATTTGCATTTTTGGAGTTCGCAAACAAATTTCTCGAGCTGTTTTCCGTTGTTAGGATCCAACAACCACACAATTACAATGTCCGAATCCCAAAACTAAAATATGACAATATCAGAACCAGAAACAAAAGTGATATGGTTCAAAAGATTTGAAAAGATCGACTGGCGGATTGATGCTCACGTTTTCAGAAAATTCTTCCCAGTATGAAGTGCACAATGACCGTAAGTCTGAAATTCTTAATACATCTATTATATCACAATAATTATTAAAGTTGCTGACAGCTTTTATATAATTGTACGTTGATGTGATGGATAAGTATCTTTATTCTACACATTTTGCTGATACAATGGATTATCTTTGTTGGCGATTACCACGATTATATAAAATGTCCCATGAACCATTGTTGTTTTTCATTACTAAACGATATTATTGTTTATTGTCCCATGCCTAGTACACATCCACTGCTCTGTACTTGCATCATTCTCCAATTTTATTTTCTTAACTGGTGAAACACATAGGATTCTGCAGCTTTGCGTCATTTTGGTACAAATTAAGAAAAAAATCTGCTATCTGCTACTCACTGGTACCACAGTTTTCTAACGCAGACGTCAGCGCTGTTTTAGATGAATACTGTGATTTAAAATGTACACATTGTAACATAATGAGCACAATATGAATTCTTTAATAATACATTGTTTTTATGTAGAACCTTTCAAGACACTCAAAGTGCTTTATGGTACAATACACATTCACTCCATGTGTGATAGTGGGAGTGTACTGTTGTAGCCACAGCTGCCCTGGGGTAGACTGGGGGTATGAAGCTGCCAGTGTTACACCATCGTCCCCTCTGACCACCACCAACACACACACACACACACATACACACATACACACACACGCACGCACACACACACACACACACACACACACCACATTAATAGTACAGTGCTTCATTTGATAGTTTATTCACTTTTTGTTTGTTACTTGAATATCATCTCATGTGTTTTAACCAACTGTTGATGAATTTCTCTTGTATTGTGCACATTTCATTGACTTTCCAACAATGTGATTAAGAGATTTCTTTCTGCCATAATTTTAAAATTATAGATAAGATAATCATTTAAAACAAAACTCTTTAATGACCAATTCATCTGTCCCTTCCAGAACAATTGAATGTGCAAAAATAATTCCCCTTTATTCCCTCAGTATCTGAAATCTGCTCCAGACCACACGCTGACACACAAATGGCAGTACACATTTCCATTTAGAACTTCCAAGCTGTTCATCAACAACTGAAAATGATTTGACCACAATTCAATTAAAATTCTATTCATTACACAGCTCTGTGATTTACAATGAAGCAACTAAAGCACCAAATCCCATTCTGCGGCATAACTCTCTCACTGTATTAGCATCTGTTACCTCCAGTCGCTGCACACACACAGTGTGCTGCTGATGGACTCTTTATACAGAGAAGAATACACTCCCATTTGGAAAGTGAGAAGTCGTTCTGGGACAAACGTGCAGTGAAAAAGCCCACAGGGCACTTTTTCCTTTTGTTTATGTGACGTCACTGGACCCTCTGAGGAAGCTAATTAGTTTATGAGTCTGGGGGTCCGTGTCCCACTGAGACCAAAGCAGATCTCTGTAGTTTTCTTCTGAAGGTCATTTGCTGCTGTAACTTGATTTGCACAATGAACAGTTTTAACATAAACACTTGTGCTTCACTAAATAGCTGCTGTTTTGAAGTGATCTGCTGTTCTTGGAAATACTTGTTTTCAAAAAAGACCCAGCTTTTCCTGCTGTTAATCCTCTATTGTCCTCCAGGGGGCAGATGCAGAGATAATGACTTCCATTTTGTTTTATTTACTTGTTCTCACTTTTTAGTATAATTTCCCAATTTGAGTCACAGCCGAATTTGCGTCAGTCGTGCTAGTCGTGACTTTATTTTCATTATTTTACTCATCAGAAACAGTTAAAGTTAATTAAGTTAAGTAGAGTTCACAAAGAGTTTTATAATGTTTATTTTCAGAAAAACACTTCTAAAACTCTGTATCACTGGAATCACAGTACCTGAAATCTGCTGCCTCCATATTTCCTGCACTCATCTGTTTAGCATTTCATTGTGGTGTTAGCGCGAATGTTGGGCTCAGATTTAACTTAAACTTGTTTAAAGATCTGTGTATGTTCTGAAATATGACTCTTGTATTAGTTTGCATTTCAGAATTCAGTCTGAATAATTATTTGGGGTGCGGTTGAAATGTGATCTTTGAATAGACTCTTATTATTAAAACATAAACCACAACTTGAATCACAATACTTACCAGAAAACGTCCAGTTAGATTTTTTTCCAAATGGTTCAGGCCTTTTAGCCTCTTAAGCATAGCGTTGTGAATATCAACATACTGCACTACAACATTCAGCTATTGGTATTTTCGGAACTGTTTCACTACACCTGAGGAGCCCCTGAAGTGTGGAAGTGTGGAGGATTTGCTGTGAGATGATGTGAGACTCGGGCGCTTTGAGGTGAGCTCCTCTGTGGACTCTGACTGTTCCTCTCATCACAGTAAACGTGAAGCTGGAGGGGGCAGATGGTTCAGAGCTGCTGCGTCTCGCCTCTGGAATGAGCATCCTTATTCATATTCTCTGCGTTCACTGGACTCTGTGGATTCTTTTAACCATCAACATCAGGCTCGCATATTTTAAACAGTCCATTCCAGGCCTATCCTATATTACCCAAGACAGACTCTTGTGAACTTTAAAGCATGGTAGAACAGTGTAACTTCGTCAAAAACATACTCAGAGTTGTGTTTTGTTTCATTCACACATTTGAGTAACTTTATTTGTGAGTCGAACTACTTCTCCAAAGCTCCAAATCCTCTGTCCACCTTGTGATGTCATGAAGCGATAGTTTTCAAGTGAACAGCTGCATTTTTAAAGATTTGCAGTTCCAGGGCTGAAAGTATTCAAATGAATCTAGTGAAGGTGTTTGGAGCACAGCACTTCTTGTATTACCACATGACATCACAAGGTGGGACAAAGGGTTTTCCATTTGAGAGAAGAGCTTATCCTAAATGTGCAGGTTTATGTGTTAAACATGTGTGAATGAAACAGAACACAACTCCAGGTCTGTTTGTGATGAGGAAACTAGATCCTAACATACTGTAGATGAGAAAATAGAATAATGTTTAATGGCCTTAAATGTTAATCTTCAGCTCCATTCACACATAGTTCCAGGAAATTGCCAGAACAGTTGAACAGTGACGTCCATTCACACACATTTCATCATGAGTGAATCAAAGCTACTAACTAACTGCTATTCTGGTGGAATACAGCGTATTCTGTAGGAGCTTCATAAGTCTGCCCCATCACCAAATCTTCAACCAACAAGCTCCACAAAGAATAAACATTCTTCATGAACAATTTATCCACAGCTATCAAGAGAAGAAAGACCAAAACTTAAAGGAAACAACGAGCCACATTAGTCACACAACAAACTAAACTCATGTTATGGTCATGAATTAAACAGAAGGAACTTGTTCACTCTGACTGATTCAACAATTACAATTAAAAATCAATTTCAGTTTACATGTGAGACATGTAAACTGTGAACAGATGTAGCATTTAAACTGCACAAATCTCTCTATCTATGCAAATATCTATATCATGAAATCAATGTTTAATTTAAATTCTAGAATCAGTCTGACTTAACAAGTTATTTATTAATGAATCGCTTATTACTCACTCTTTTTTTTCATGAGTATAACGTTAGTTTTATCAGTAGTCCACTAATGCTAGTAGCTGCTGGAAAATAAGAGAGACATTTCAAAACCATTAACCGGAGTGACGTTTACCCTACATGGTTTAGTGGTTTAAGCTACATCGCGGCACTTCGGCCGATGTGAAAAGGTTAATTCTTAAACCTAATTCTGACCTTAACCTGATTGCTATTTTTTAGGGGGTTTTTTTGGTCAGAATAACATGTTTCTTTTGCTGTGGATCCTACCTGGAACATTCACATTTACAGCACTGCCACTAAGACACAGAGTCTGTTGTCTGTTTTTTGTGGGACACACTGGTGCCACTCATGCATCAGTGTGTTGTGTTGTCATCATTTTAATTTCTTCTGAAAGAAGCTTTGTTTTTTGTTTTTTTGTTTTATTTATTTTTTATTTTTTTGACCTGGCAGCTCAGGAAAACACTGAAGTCCTGTCTCCTGATGAAATGCAGAGTTTTTTGAGTTGCTCTCACACAGCAGTGCACTTGCACTTCATTTAAACTGACTTATGTAGCGTAAACATGAAATCAGCTGATAACCAAGGAAACCAAGCTCTGTATATTCTTAGTCATTTACCCAGGAAAGGGTCAGATCCAAAATGCGGGAAATCAGTTGTGGCCTCATTCACACATGACCCTGTTGTGGAAATCGCAGGATCATTCTTGGCTCAGGCTGTGTGTGTTTTATTGTTATATTTATAATGTTTTCTTGTAGCTTGGGAACTAGGCCCATATAAATAAACCCCTTACTTACTAAATTCAGTGTTTGATAAGTATTTCTTTGCACTTCTAGTTTTACGCCTGATGCCCTCCCTCTCCCAACACTCTGTAAATCCTACATAGCTACTCTCCTCCAGCTGGAGTTTGTCTTTGAAGCCCAGGTCTTTGCTCTGGTTTTTCATTAAAACTCTCAGAATATAACTTTAACACTTGTTTTTTTCTTCTTTTGCAGCTTGAAATTTACATTTCAGAGGGCACCCATTCCACAGAAGAGGACAGTAAGTCTTTAATGTGTCTCGCATTGGTCCTTTTACATAAACACAACAGCTCTCCTCACGTGCACCTTCATGTTCCTTTTCGTGACATGAAAGTGCTGGTGTTTTTGAGAGTGTAGGAGATAAAATGTGTATGGCTGCTTTGCCCAGCATATGGAGTATGGAGCAGCACATTTCATTCTGCACAACACCCTGCTCATATTAGCATCTGTTACCTCAAATAGCCTCACACAAATAGACAATCTGCTGATGGACTCTTCATAGCGACAGGAATATGATCCCATTCTCCAACTGAGCAGGTGTTTCTCTGAACCTGGGGGTTCAGAAAAACACCTTGGTCTGTCACCTGCCTGTTTCTATGGATACATCACTGCTCTGCTTGGAATGTTCCACAGTATGACATTTAACAGCTCTACCATAGATTCATTTAATTCCAGGTTCTATAGCCTAGAAAAACAATGAGCGGGGTCGCCCCTCCACAGATCTGACCTGTAACCTCTCCATGAAGAAAGAAAGGTTCTGGAGTTGTGTTTTGTTTTATTCACACATGTTTAAATCACAAACCCTGCACATTTAGCACGACTTCTTCTCATACAGGAAGTGCTCCACTGTGTTTTTAAACTCCATGCACCTGTAGAATCATTAGGACACTTTCAGCTGGTAAAGGTCAAAAGAGCTGTTGAAGAACTTGAAAACTTCTTCTTTGTCACATCACAATAATAATAATAACGGATTACTCAAACATTTGTGAATGAAACGAAGCAAGTCCAGCTCTGTTTTTGAGGAGGGAACAACATTCTAACAGGCTTCAATTTCAAAGGAGTCACTTTCATGTAATATAGGATTTTTAATAACTCAAAGTCTGGAGATATTCTGACTGAAAAGCCAACTAACGTCTGTAGTCTTTACAGAACTAAAATGGACTTGACAGCGCTGCTATAGGAACAGTAAAACACTTGTGACATTTATTTTAATGGCACAGTCCTGATCTGATTTAGCAAATGAAGTGCCACCTTCAATGACACTGAGTTGAATAATTCTTTTGTTGTAGGAAAAGATTTAAACCTTGTAACAGTGAGTACTTCCAGCCCTCCATTCTCATACATGGTACATTCTGTACCATGTCATCTTTCTGGTGTTTGTGTCCAGGGAGACGTTATTGCTTTGGAATGCCCCTCAGTATGGCATTAAACTTAACCTATCTTGTATTTACCATATTTTTCAGACTATATGGCGCATTTAAAATCATTTAATTTTCTCAAAAATGTATATAGTGCACCTTATGTATTAATTCTGTTTGTGCTTACTGACCTCAAACAGATTTTATTTGGTACACAGCACTCACAAATCTGTCAAAATGTTTTAGTATGACTTTGGTAAACTACAAAGCTGTACCAGTTAATGGATTGTCGGAGCGTTACAGCTACTGTAGTCAGACTCAGGAGCCTTGTGGAATAATACACATTCACTAAGACAGAGAGGCAACACCAGGCAAGTTACACCACCATCTGCCAATGGATCATGAATGTCTGGGCTTATTGTGAATGAGTTGAATAAAGTTTCACTTATCTCGCTGTTTTGTTTCACTTAATGCGCCTCTTAATCCAGTGTGCCTTAAGAATGAAAATAGATGAGAGAATTCAACATTATTGACATTGTGCCTTATAATAATCATTGCATTTATATTGCACCTTTCAGGATATCCAAAGCGCTTTACAGTTCATTATTCATTCACTCAACACTCAGTGGTGGTAAACTACTACTGTAGCCACAGCTGCCCTGGGGCAGACTGACAGAAGCAAGGCTGCCAATCTGTGCCATCGGTCCCTCCGACCACCATCATCACTCACACACACACACACCACTGTCATATTAGGCAATGTGGGTGAAGTGTCTTGCCTAAGGACACAACAACAGTTTTTGCCACTGGAGCCCCACTGTGGCTCCTAATTTTCCCAGTTTCTCCCATCCAAGTACTGACCAGGCCCGGACCTGCTGAGCTTCTGAGATCTGACAGGATCAGGCTTTGACAAACTGGTATGGTTTATAATCTGGTGCGCTTTTATAGTTTGAAAAATATGGTAGTCAAATACAGTATTGTTATCTCTGAAAATGCCCTTAAACTGTTTAGTCTTACAGTGCCAAGAGTCAGATCTGAGGAGAGGCGACCCCTCTGTAACCTGGTCTGCTGGTGATGTCATCTTGTTTCCTTTGCGATAGATTTAATGCCATACTGTGGAACATTCCAAGTGAAATCAAAGCACTGACATCTCCGGGGAGATGAGCAGGTCACAGAAAAATTCCATTGTGCACCTTTTAAAATGATAATAGTAATAATAATAGTAATAGTAACAGTAATAGAAGTCAAAATGGACTGTTATGAAAGTCGTGTTATAAAGTCATTACCTCCTCAGAAACAGAGCTGAAGTTGTGTTTTGTGTCACTCACACACGTTTGATAATAAATAACCAACTGATAATAAATAAAGGGTTACTCAATGCTCAAAATGCTCTGTTTCACCTTGTGATGTCATGAAGTTGTAGTTTTCAAGTTAACAGCTACATTTTACCTTTAGTTCAGTAGAGATTGGCAGTTCCTGGGCTGAAATGATCCAAAAAGTTCTAGTGAAGGTGTATGGAGTTTAAAAACACGGTGGAGGGGTATTTTCGTGTTTATTATGTTAAACATGTGAATGAAACAAAACACAACTCCAGGTTTGTGATGAGGACACAACATTAGAACATGAGATCAGAAAATGATGTAATGGAAGTGTCAGATAAGTAACACAGTTGTATTTGTGTGTTTCCAGTTAACAAACAGATCAACGATAAAGAGCGAGTGGCGGCAGCGATGGAAAACCCCAACCTCCGAGAGATCGTGGAGCAGTGTGTGACAGAACCAGACGACTGAGACTGAGCGGGAGAAAGGACAGACCAGCCCCAAACCCTACAGACTCTTTTATAACCTTTTAGACAACACAAGTGTTTCTCTAGACAGGAAATAATGCGACTACTGTTGATGTGTGTCCCTTTGCACTATAATGAATTTACATGTGATTTTTCTACACGCTCATGTGCCTGTGTCCGTTAAAGGGGCATTGTGTAACTTTTCTGGCGAAGGCTCCGTCAAATGCTTTTCTCCATAGAGATGTTATTGCTTTGTCTGGAATGTTTCACAACACATCACGAATCTCAGACTTACGATCATTGCGCAGTTCATACTTGGAAGGATTCTCTGAAAAAGTGAGCATCAAACCTCCATGTTTGTTTTCCCAGTGGGATGCGATTATTGACAAAGCCGATCTTTTCAAGTCTTTTGAACCATATCACTTTTGTTTCTGGTTCTGATATTGTCATTTTAGTTTTGGGATTCAGACATCGTCATTATGTGGTTGTTGGATCCTAACAGCAGGAAACGGCTCGAGAAATTTGTTTGCGAACTAAAATAAAATAAATGCAAAAGTGAATCAGATGTGTGTGACTCAAACCTCTGTTCAAACTGTTTCTCTTCCCAACAGAATTGAAAAATAGTAAAAGGTGAAGGTGATGGGCAGGACTGATCCACAGGAAGGACCAAAAAGGAAACATTTGTCTTGTTAGAAATCATCCTGAGTTTGCAGCGAACATTTTGTATGTGGAGCGACAACAAAACAAAATCCCGATCACTCAACATTGGTTATGAATTTAAAAAGTCAGTGCCAAAGCGAAAGGCACCAACTGTTCACCAAGAAACACCTTCCACTTGCAAAGAGACCAAGACTTAATATTGCTGCACAAGAACAAGAAAGTGCAGCTCAGTCTGTTTGTCTTCTGCACCTCTCACTTAACAAACTGGATCCTGCTTTGATGGCTCCACATACAAAATGTTCACTGCAAACTCGGGATTATTTAGACAGTCAAAGGTTTCTTTTTTGGTCCTTCCTGTGGATCAATCCTGCCCATCACCTTCACCTTTCACTATTTTTCAATTCCGTTGGGAAGAGAAACAGTTTGAACAGAGGTTTGCAGTCACACACATCTGATTCACTTTTGTATTTATGGAGTTTACAAACACATTTCTCGAGCCGTTTTCCGTTGTTAGGATCCAACAACCACACAATTAACGATATCTGAATCACAAAACTAAAATATGACAATATCAGAACCAGAAACAAAAGTGATATGGTTCAAAAGACTTGAAAAGATCGACTTTGTCAATAGACACATCCCACTGGGAAAACAAACATGGCAGTTTGATGTTTACAATCATTCCCAGTATGCATTGCACAATGACCGGAAGTCTAAGATTCTTGATGTGTCTATTAAACCTTTCTCTCTTCAAACCAAACCAAGTTCCAGGTCAGATCTGTGGAGAGGCGACCCCGCTCACAGTCAGAATATCTGTTTTCTTGCTATTTTTGAGCTATGAAACAAGGTGTGATTAAATAAATGTAAGGTTGAGCTGTTTAATGTCACACTGCGGAACATTCCGGGCACGGCAATAGCATCTCTGTAGGAACAAGCAACCAAAAAAGTTACATAGTGCACCTTTAAGTAGAATAATAGTGGAAATATGTTGTGAGTCAAATCAAATGGATGCAGTACAAATATATTTATTAAACTTAAACATTCAGAAGTGTGGGGGAGTTTGAAGAGCTCTATCTGATTTTTCATCTAATTAAGTCAAATGTGTCTCGCCCCAGTCCAGGTGGTTTGTAAAAATGAGACCAGTGTGCGCAGCCTGCATCTAATTATAAAGCTGTATAATCTTCTGTAAACTGGGAACTAATGCTGGTGTGCAGTTAGCATGCTAGTTGTTGTTTGCGTGACCGTGCCGGCAAAACTCCGCTCTGGCCTCTAAAAGTTCAAAAGCACTTATGAACTCATAGTGAATAATTAAGATGCTCGGCGTGACAAATAACTCAACTTTTTTTTTGTTTGTTCTCATTTTTAAGATCATAAAAAGGTACAGAGCCTGTAATAGTGAAATGATTTAACTTTCCACCTTATTCTATTTTCTTGCACTTGGAAATCTTCTAATAAAAAGACCTAGTTTGAGCCTTGTGTTTGGTGTCTCTTTATTTTTATCAGCTCATATTCAGAGAGACATTGATCCAGAAAACTGTATGGTTCCAATATTTAGAATGAATGCATTTGAATTATGTAAATTGTGCACTGATTTCCTGTCATGTTACATAAAAACTCAGACATCGATCACAGAAAGGTTTTATAAGTTCATTCAAATCAATAAGTTCTGTGCGTGTACACTGCAGTGGGCAAAGGAAACTGTTTACACGTCCAAACCCTTCTGTGTGTAAGATGTAATCAGTGTTGGGGAGTGTACCGGAGTTACGTAATCAGAGTACAAATTAAGAATAACTCTATTCAGTTATAGTTACTGTTTTAATGAGTGGTAATTGGATTACAGTTACTTTGTTGAAATAAATGGATTACATGGTGGTATGTTTCTGTTTTCACATTTTTGGCTAAACCAGGACTAAACCCATGACTAAAACCAGGACTAAACCAGGACTCAAACCAGGACTAAAACCATGACTAAAACCAGGACTAAACCAGGTCTAATCCAGGACTAAAACTATTGCTAAAACCAGGGCTAAAACAAGGACTAAACCAGGACTAAACCAGGTCTAAACCAGGACTAAAACCAGGTCTAAAACCAGGACTAAACCAGGATTAAACAAGGTCTAAACCAGAACTAAAACCAGGTCTGAACCAGGACTAAAACCAGGTCTAAAACCAGGACTAAAACCATGATTAAAACCAGGACTAAACCAGGTCTAAGCCAGGACTAATCCAGGACTAAAACTATTGCTAAAACCAGGGCTAAAACAAGGACTAAACCAGGTCTAAAACCAGAACTAAAACCAGGACTAAACCAGAACTAAAACCAGGTCTAAAACCAGGACTAAACCAGGTCTAAACCAGTACTAAACCAGGTCTAAACCAGGACTAAACCAGGACTAAACAATATGACACTGACAGTAGATGGACATAATTGAAGGCAGCAGTGATCTCATATGGAAATCATTTTTTCTATCAATAATATTTTTAATCTTCTTAAGGAAAGACTGGACTTTTTATGTTCTTTTAGCAGATAAAACATCTTCGTCTTTGCTTCTCTGCAGTAAACAAAAGTCTGTTCATGGAGACTCAATTTGAAGAGAACAAACATGAATTTTCAGGATGTGGTTGGTACATTCATGTAGTTTTAAAAAACATGACAATATCAAGTAATCCAAAGTATTCAGATTACATTACTCACTTTAAGTAATTTAATGGATTACGTTACAAACTACATTTTGGGGTGTGTATTCTGTAATCTGTAGGGGAATATATTTTAAAAGTGACCTTCCCAACAGTGGATGTAAATACTGTGACAGGTTATTTAAGATGATCAAATCACAGCATGAGGCACTTGGCGCTCTCAGACATTCAAAATCTCTCTCTTTAATAACAGACTTTCTTTGGTATAAGTGTATTGTAAATATGTTAAATTTTTGGCAGTTTGACAATAATCAACAAATGCCAAACAACAGCCAAACTGTTTTTCTCTACGTTCTGTCACTTTCTGGAGGAGGCACGTCACCCGCTTGATTCCATTAAAATAGAAAACCATACTGTGGAACATTCTTCATGGAGATAGAAGTTTTATGCCCTACAGTGGAACATTCTACCCAAAGGAACAACATCTCCATGGAAACAAGCAGCAGGAGGCTCTCCAACAAGCCAAATATGAATCAGGGTTGTGGAGATGTGAGCTCACACACAGTAAAGACGAATGTTTTTCCATATTTTTATTTATTGTTTCAGTGCAATAAACCATGCCTTTTTTGTGTGTGTCTATTTTCTTCTTAAAAAAGTGACATCGTGGCTTTAACATGACTTTTTCCGTAACAGTTAAAAGGGGTGGAGCAAAATCAGATGAGAAACACTGTCTTTTTAATTTTAATCTCATCTATGAATCAATTTTCATGACACATATAAAGCATACAGCACAAGCACGCTTCATTAAGATCTCCAAAGTGCATTTAAAGTATGGAAGATAATTTGTTCCATCAGATTTTGAATTTTAAATACAGCTGAATTTCTTACTTTGAATTTTTTAAATGTGAAAAAAATAATTGAATTATTTTTATTCAGAATTTTAGTTGCTTAAATTGTAAGTATACTTTTTCAATATATTTCAAATTCAAAATAAAATTTTCAAGTTTTAAATATTCAGCGCAGGTATTTTCAAGCCCTCAAATTCAAAAGTTAAAATTTAGAGTGTAAAATTCGCAGTAAAAAATTTCACAACAAAGATCCAAGATGCCAAGGCAGAAGCAACAGATCAGAAATGAGTGAGGAGGACAGAGGTTATTTCCTACAGGCCTTTCTCATCTGTGGGAGGGGTTTACACTTAAGAAGTAAAAGAGATATGGTTTTGATGAGGCTAACCCTGTGTTCGATTATTCTTCTGAATCTGTTTCTGAGGAAGTTGCTTAGTGACGCGTGGCTCACCCCTTTTCCTGGGACAGTACGATTTGGACCGAGCAAGGATTCCGAGTCAGAATCCAAGATGGCTACGCCCATTGTGACATGTAAATATGAACTCTTTCCATTGTGTTTTGACACTTTGGTGGTTTAAATGACAGCCAATAGTATTACTGCAATACCTTAATACGTTTGTATCACTGCCTGTGGGTATTGTAGTTGGTGTTGTGGTGGCACCAATGTTGAACAAATACTTGATTTAATGGGCGTTAATGTCCCTAAGGTTGTAACGGAAGAGAAATTATAGCATAAAATGAAGTGCAAATTTCAAAAATTTAATAAATTAAAGTGGAAGCATTTTCATAAAATGAGGGAATAGTCATAATCATAATCCACATAGTCCAATACGCAAAACATAATCATATGCTTCAAGCTCGTGACATCAAATCTGAGGTCCAAGTGAGAGTCAGAAGATAATCGAACACAGGGTAATTCTGACCAATCAGACTGGCTCACTACACCATTTCCTGCACTTCCTTGCACACTTAAAATCTCAGCAACTAAAACTCAGAATAAAAATAATTCAAACATGTTTTTTCAGAGTTAAAACATTCAAAGGCACAAATTCAGCGACATTTAAAATTCAAAATCCGATGAAACAAATGATCTTCCATATTAAAGCAATCACATTCTCAGCTTGTTTTATTTTGCAGTACTCTTGTTCATCTGTAGGGGGAGCTGTTGCTTTATTCCCAGCTTCAGAGGACAACCAGTCTCTTGTAATGGATTAACACTGTACAGCAATCTGAGCAAAGCAAATTAAAACAACAAATTGGTTTACACTTTTTGAATTAAAACATGAACTAAACTCTCCTCTTAAAA